TACGACCGAACTCAAAGCAACAAGAAGGCCCTTTCGAATCACGGAAGCTGCTGCTTTGCAAGTTTTCAAGCCACTTGAAACAGCCTTGTCCTGCAGGTTTGTTGACCCCGAGGCCGGCCTGCAATGATGTCAGAGTTCTTGTTGTTCGTTAGACTTAGGTTTAGACTCAGCTTGATTTCGGAGTTGAGGTCGAGCTTACTGCTGTTGGCGGAGGTGTTGTTGTCCTGACCTTCGGCGGGGCTTGGAGGGCTTTAGGATCTGGGCAGCGGCAGAGTATGTGTTACATTCTTATAGTACACAGTACAAGGGTAAATACACGGCTTCACACGGTAGCAAGTTCCGTAAGGCTTCACAGGGTCTTGTATTGTTGCATAAGCTTTCCTAGCACATTCTGGGCCTCTGGGCCTTGGCAAATTTTATCCTCTTGTGCCTGCTATCCCGGAATAGTGACAACCTACCTTGGAGCATCACTCTGAACCTCCAACCCCGATTGAAACATCAGCAAGAGCCTAGGCCCCTAAAATCCATTGCGGGCGCGATGGGCGACTGCACTCAGAGTACTCGCGCATACGCTCGAGTCCGCTCGAGTGCGCTCGAGTATGCTCGAGTACGCTCGAGTACGCCCCAGTATGCTCCAGTATGCTCGAGTACGCTCGAGTATGCTCCAATATACTCGAGTCCGCCGAAGTGGCACCACAATTTATAGCAGCCATCAGAAAGCACATACCATGGTATTCACTACTATACAACATACAACCTATATATGGTATACAGCGATTCACTAGTATGTAACATATACTGCGTAAAATCTGATACACTCGCTCGTACCTAGACAATTCTCGCGCAGTATACTCGCACGTGCTCGCACATACCCGCGCATACTCGCATATACCCGCGCATTGTCGCACATACTCGCTCAAACTCGCGCATACCCGCGCATGCACGTGCATACTATGACTGTGCGTGTGGCCTACTTTAAGATATGGATGTTAAGTAACCCCCTTATAAGCCCGTTGTAACCCCCTTTATAACTCTGCTGTCCGTGTAGTAAGTCCCTGCTAACTTAAGGGACGTTAGTAGAGAGTTAGTGGGAAGACATAGAAGTTACTATGCACAACTTAACTTCACGGTTAAATTTTCTAACTTATTTTGACTTCTTTCGATGTTGTGCTAAACTATGTTGTGTGTTTGTCAGTGATGTCTTTTTTGGGGGGGTGGAGGGGGAACGAGGAAGGACGGGAGGAGAGGAGGGAGTGGGAGGGGAGAGGGAGGGAGGAGGAGGAGGGAGGAAGCGAGGGTTCCGGGAGGGAAGGGCTTCGAGGGTTTACGGAGGAAGGGTTTAAGGAGGGAGGGTCGAGGGTTTTGGGAGGGAAGGTTTTGGGGAGGGAGGCTTGAGGGAGGGAGGGAGGGTTTAGGGAGGGGTTTAGGGTTTATAATGGGGCTTAGGGTTTAGGATTCAGCAGCTCCGGTTAACGTTACACTCACCGTCTAGACAGAACACCCACCCACCACTGAATCCCCACCCACGAGTTCCATTTACAGCTGGACTCCACGCACTTTGCCGTGACTTCATGTTGTCGTTCGCATTATTTTTCTCACACCGAGACAACAAGGTCCGACAAAGCACCTGCATAACAAAGTAGCTTAACGAATCCATTCCTTGCCGAACCCCTTGAGATAAGAGTCCCAAACTTCTATCCCTGTCGTCAAACCACAAAAATACGGTTAACAAGTCCATTCCTTGTCAAGGTCCGACAAAAACACCTACGCAACAAAGTGGCGTTATGGTTTGACGACCTTGACCAGGAACAGATTTGTTAACTGTATTTTTGTGTTTTGACGACTAGGTTACCTGATTTAGGAACTGATGGGTCGGAGGGGAGGGGGGTTGGGGAGGGAGGGGGTTTAGGGAGGGAGGGTTCAGGGAGAGGGAGGGTTTAGCGAGGGAAGGTTTCGGAGGGGAGGGGAGGGGACGGGAGGAGAGGGGAGGGGAGGGGAGGGGAGAGAGGGTGGTGTAGGGTTGAGGGCTGAGGGTTCGGTGCTTAGGGTTGAGGGTCTAGGGTTGAGGGTCTAGGGTTATATATGAGTCATATCAATAGTATGTATTTGTGTCATACTCGCGCATACCCGCGCATACTCGTATGAGCGATATGCGCGGGTATGCGCGAGTGTGCGCGAGTACAATGCGCGAGTGTGCGCGAGTATGCGCCATATATGCGCGGGTATGCGCGAGTATGCGCGAGTATGCGTGGGTATGCGTGGGTATGCGCGAGTATGCGCGAGTATGCGCATACTCGCACATACTCGCGCACACTCGCACCTTGTACTCGCGCATACTCGCGCATACCCGCGCATACCCGCGCATACTCGGGCATACTCGCGCATACCCGCGCATACTCGCGCATACCCGGCGCGATCCGGGACCACAATGCGTAGTCGCGCTTTCCCGCCACAGTGCTAAAATCTACCTTAGTGACGGAAGGTGCGTTGGTGCGGGAGATGCATTGGTAGGACTCGGATGTTCAGTATAGTGGGGAATACTACCGGATGCAGAGCCAGATGAAACGCAAGATGTCGATGCTGTGCCTGGGCATGCTTAGGAATGTTTGTAGACGACTGCTTGTAGCGCCCCCGCTTCCTGCAACACTGTCCTTTCCAAGCCAATGCAGCTTTAAGCGATTTCGGGATTAGGATTGGGGCACGGCCCAAGCTCACAAGCCTGTAGCTCCTGAGCCTCTCAAGTTCGTTTCTGGCCGCCCTGGCCAAAACCCAAACAAGATGTCAGGATGCTTACCAGCAGCAAATCGCAGAGGCGCAGGAGCCGGACTGTTGCATGTTAGCCTCAAGATGATGAGCAGTACATAAAATGGCTTGACGATGAGAACAGCTACGAGGATCTTGCCGTCAAGTGGTGCTGATGATAGCATAGATCGCCCAAAGAAGCCCATGCCTCCGTAGCAATGGCAGTGCCGTAACAGAAGCGATAGCAGCAGTAGTACGCTTCGTAGTCGGGCTACAAGCAAGCTGAAGAGTGACAAATGGCCACAACCATTGCGAAAACCGTCGGAAAGATCGCACTGACATGCGGCAAAGACAGCAAAGATTACAACTGTGCAGATGACTGATACGGTAGAGCAGCAGCTTGTTCCAGTGCGAAATCAAACAATACGAACAGCATCGAGGTTCCTGTCGGCCTTCGGTTGCAACACCCATCCACTCCCCTCCCTCCCCACCTCCCACTCAAGGAGGAGATTGCACGACTTCAAGCGGACAACGACCGATTGCTGTATGCTACTGGGAGAATGACCTGGTGTGATCCTGCACCGGTTGCCACGGAACTCGGGCCCAGAAGTAACGGCTTTTTGTGGCTTGCTAGGTGTACGCTTGAGCCTAGTCCTAGGCAGGTTCCATAGTGCCGTGATCAGGCTGCGGAAGGAAGTCCATGCCCCAAGCCCGGAAGACGGAAGACTGCAAACACCGGTTCTAGCCGTGCCATGCACAAGATAAAGATACCAGAAGACGGTGCCGTATGAAGCCGCGAGGCCCGAAATCTCGACCCCCATGCGTCGGTTAGCATAGAATTTGAAAGACGCACAACATCCCCAAATCTATAAAGAAACTGTAAAAGCCTGCAAAACCCTTTCCAGCCCTTCTCAAACGCTTTGGAAGATCCGTCGTAAAACGCACTTCTGAAACCATGTGAACATGGAACCCTCAAAGACTGCTGGGGTCGACAGTTAGCACTATGCTATTCCATTATGGCATTAGACTAGTGTACGCAATATACCCAAGAAACAGTACCAATTATTGTTGAAGCATATTACAGCCTTATATTCAGCAGAAAAGGCCGAGAGTCAGCCGACACTCCCCGGATATTCCTGGCACAGCTGTGAGATGCGGCGGAGTCCCGTGGACATGGCACGCCAGCGACAGCGACGGTGACTTTGCTTTTTGATGGCTTTGTATAGTGGCTTGTAGGGTTTTGTAGGGCTGAGGCTTTGAGGTATGGCGGTTGGAGTTCATGAGGGTGTTGGGGTTTGGAGCTAACATAGCCGCTGCTTCAATTGTGTCAACAAAGTCGTTTTCGACCCTTTGAACCCTCATATGCCCTGTAAGCCTCAAAAACGCGAATGCTTCGATCTCTCGCCAGAGGTTCCAACACGAAACCCCCTTCAAATGTAGAAATATGCCTTAAATCATAGGGCCATATGGGATCCTTAGTATGATTTCAGGTGTAGTACTTTAAATAGGCGGTTTTGGAGTCTTTGCCTAGCCAGAGGTTGCAGCAAGATTGTGAAATGCAGTCTGAGCCATCGCCCTCTCGATCGCCTTTGTCATGGAGCTCCACAGGATAGGGGCTTTACGATAGTTAAAACGCGTTTTTGATTAAATAAACAGCTGGTAGGCTTTATGATAGGAACCTTGCAAAACTGCGAGCCGCGCAGCACAGTGTAATGTGAGGGGACCCTAAGGGCATTATATCACAGTAGTCCACAGGAGGGACCTCACCACTGGCGTCGCTCCCGGGCAGAGCCCGTGTTGGATTGCTACCCCGCAGCCACAGCCAGGGCCACTTGGCCTCTGGACTCGCCTTTCCTTGGCCTGATGACGATCTTCGATTCGGTGAACTGTCGAAGTCGCCGTCGGCCGCAAGACGAGGCCTCCGGGTGATTTGTGTCGTTAGTAGATAACTGGAGTAGCTGCTTTATGACATAATATGATATGGCTGGTGGTTCTTACTGGTGTGGTTTCAGCAGGAGATCCGGGCACTCTCACTGGAAGCCACAGCTACGACGAGGGTTGCGCTCCCGTTTGGGATTCCGTGCGCCAGTCGCTTTGGCAGCGCACACAGGAAGATGCAGCTGCAGAGGCACAGGCACCGGCTGAGCAAAGGCCGAAGAACTTAGAAGGCTTAGCCGGATTGGGTGGAAGCCGTTTCGCGCAGCGATCAGCTGCACGGGAGGAGTTTTTTTCCTTCACCGACAAAGCCTTCATCCAAGATGCCTCCGGCGACACAGCCGTCAGACCAGCCGCCTTTGCCTCCTCCTGCACAGCCTCCAACTGAGAGTCGGAATCTTGAGGAGTCCGAGGAAAAGTGCCTTGTTGCAGAACTCAAGAGTCTGCGGCAACAGCGAGACGACGCACAAGCTGCAGAGAAGGCGGCACAGAACAATGCAGAGCAACTGGAGAGGGAAGCTGCAAAGGCTGCAGAGGCCGCCGCCCGGGAAGAGGGAGAGCGAAGACGCACGGAAAGTGAAAAGGCGAAAGAGTTTGCAAAGAGGGTAGAGGAACAGCAAAAACGGCGCGAAGCCGCCGAAAATGCCGAGAAGGATGCGAGGGCTCAGCAAGAGCAGCAACAGGTGGCAGCCGCCAAAGCTGCGGAGCATGCTGCCGAGGCTGAGGAAAAACGGCAGAAGCTAGGCCATGAGTGAGAACAGCTAGTATGCTGTGCATAAAGAAATGTATGTGTATATATATATACACACATATGTGTGCGTGTCACATGTATAGGTTTACATATTTTCACATTTTTAGTCCACAATTAAGTCATTAAGTTGTATACATGAAATGAAGCAACAACTATGACTCTTATTCAAGGAGACCGAACAACAACCCAGGAAGGATGTTGCAGAAAAGGCTGCAGAACTTGCCGCTATCGTTGACGACCTGCGACGAAAGCGCGAAGCTGCGCAGGCTGAGGAGGAAGCTGCAAAGGTGCAGGAGAAGGAATGGCAGCGACAAGCCGCAGAGGATGCAAAGTCTGCCGCGAGGGAAGAAAAAGACCGGAAGAAGAGGGAGGCAGCGGATGCTGCAAAGGCTTCTGCCAAAGTAGACGGCGAGCGAAAGAAGCGGGAAGCTGCAGAGCTTCAAGAGCATGCTGTGAAGGCTGAGGAGGAGGGATGGAAGCGGCAAGCTGCAGAGGATGCGGAGAAGGCTGCGAGAAAGGAGGAAGATCGAAGAAAGAAGGCAGCGGAAGAAGCCAAGCAGGCAGCCGTGACAATTGAGGAATGCCGTAAGCGGCGAGAGGCCGCAGAACATGCCTTGGCCAATGCAAGGGAGCAGGAACAGCAAAGCAAGCTCGAAGCCGCAAAGGCAGCCGAACAAGCCGCAAAGTTCAACAAGGAGCAAAAGGAGCGGGAAGCCACTCAGGCTGCGAAGTTCGCTGCAAAGGACAGAGAGCAACGGTTGAAACAGGAAGCTGCAGATGCTAAGGAGGCTGCTGCAAAGGTGGGCGAAGAGCAAAAGAACCGGCAAGCTGTAGAAGATCGATGGGAGTTTGCCAAAAGTGCCCGAGAAGAGCGCAAGGAGGATGCCGAGCCACCAGAGGAAGCGGTTGACGATTGCTGCCAAAGGATCGAAGGAGTCGTGAAAAAGGCTTTGGAGGACGGCTTGGAAGAGCATTCTATGAAGGCTCGGAAAGTAGATCAGGATATCGAGGTTTAGCGTGTAAGGATTAAGGTTTAAATTTGAGGGTTTATGGTTTGAGGTCTTGGGTTGAGGGTTTATGTTAGGGGGCATTCCTGAGCAGCCTCAAGCTTTCAGTCCAACTCAAGATCCTCCCGACAGGGTTGTTGCATTGGCACCGAGTCGTAAACCCCAAACCCTACATACACCTTGAACCCTGTTAAGCAAACGGAAATAGGGTCCTTAAGAAGAACGGATATATGTAGTTTAGGGCGGGTCTAAGCGACCTCACCCTTTGCAGGTTTGCGCATGTTCCAGAGACGGCCCGAGTCCGAAGGCTTCTAGCTTAAAGCTGTGGGCTTGGGGTGTGCCTCTTGTTTCTGTCCTGGCTGAGTCGCTGCAAGCCAGATGCAAAAAAGAAGGTTTGTGCAGATCGGACTGTCGTTGCGTTGAAGAAGAAAGTGAACCCGAAACCTCCATGTTTTCACCCTCTCCGACCCATTTGCCGAGGCTGGTCCCGGAAGGATACGGAGACTCATCACAAGTGTCACCGGGTTCTGAGCGCAGCTTTTGTGAACCTGGCTCGTCTGACCTGAACTCCCCGATTCGACCTGAGCTCTTCAATTCTTCTAATCCTCCAGAGTTCAGTAGGCCTCACGAAAGCATTCCAGATCCCTCCCAGACCTCTGTCGAATAGAAAAGAAGGCCCCCTTAGAGTATAGGCCCTATAGAGTAATAGTAGACTATACCCCGAAGCCCGATTCTATCTAAACAGGTGTAAACCCTAGGACCCTAAACCCTGATCCCTAAACCCTAAACAGGCCTGCCCGAAGGGCCTCTCGTCTAAGACGAGCCAGACCATTTTTCAACGAATCCTAATATAGGGGCTTCAGGTGTGGGGTTGAGCCTTTAAGGCTGGAATGTAGCCGCAACACAGCTCCAACCTTAGTACTCGTCTAATTGTTGCGGCCTCTCTACTCAACCTGTCATTTCCGTTCATAGTCCCCGCATAAATCATAGCAGAACGATTCAAGCCCGTATATTAGGGCACCGTGTGCTCTCGAAATGCCGAAGGCCCGAGCCTGGGTCACTTTGCTTTTTTGGGGGCTCAGGGTTCGGGGTTTGCCATCGGGTTTACGGTTTCCCGGGTGTTTTGAATGTGAGTTCTACTGTTTCCAAAGCAACATGGTACTCACTACTCAGGCTGCCGGTCGTATTACAATTAGTACTATTACTATTAATACTACTACACCACTACAGCTACTACTACTATTATTATTACTATCGCTAGTACTATTCTGTTTACTTTTACTAGTTCTATTGCTATTGCTATTATTATTATTATTACTACTACTACTACTACTACTCCTACTACGACTCCTAGCTAGGCGGGAGGCAAAACTACTACCACCACCACCACCACTACTACTACTACTACTACTACTTCTGCTATTACAACTACAACTACAACAACTACTGCTGCTGCCACCACCACCACCACCACGACTACTACTACTACTACTACTACTACTACTGCTGCTTCCACTACTACTACTACTACTGCTGCCACTACTACTACGACGACGACGACTACTACTACTACTACTAGTAGCGAGACTTGCAACAGGACAACCACGCGAGCTAGTCGAGTGCCTCTGGTCATGTTATTTGTATCATCAGTCTCTTGAGAACATCTGTTACCCTCATGACTATCAGACTCGCATCCTCTTGAGCTTTGGCTTTGTCTTCACCTCTAGGGCCAAGGGTTTCCTCCTCCAAATCGTCATCAGCCATCATCGCTTTCTCATCGACTCGGTTGCTGCTACTTCGGATGGCTGGCAGCATACAACAAAAGGAGAAGCCTCCAAATAGCAAGGGCACTGGCTGCAGAGCTCCTTGCATGTTGCTACCGAAATGCTCCTTTTGGCGGGTACATAGCAAGCCCTCGGCGATTTTGAGGCTTGAGGTTTTGGAGCTGTTTTTCTGCGTTTGCGGTTGAGCTGTGCTTTGATGACATGGGTTTCCCCCTCACATGCTGGAAGGGGTTTTGGAAATGGGTTTGGCTTTCTGCTTTTCCACATACCCTAAACCCTATGACCCTGAACCCTAAACCAGGGCACAGGGGTTTCTTTCTTTCCTCCGGCTGGGTACTAGCATGTTCGATCAGAGCTCGGGTTCGAGTTCTGGGAATTTTATGTCTCTGTCAGTTGTTGTGGGGCTGGAACCTACGGGAAATAGCCAAAAAATCCTAAGTTTCATGTCGGAGGATTGCATTGAGATTTTCTTTCACGGAGTCTTGGGAGCTTGCGTTTTGGAATGCCATCCTGTGGGCTTGCTGTTTTAGCCAAAGGGGTCCCTCCGGAAATCCCCACTCCAACGGGTGGCGGCTTGGCTGCAAAGCAGTCAATTGCCCACTATGCTCCTGCCAAGCTGGAGCTCAACATTGTCTATACAGCTGAGGCAATCTATTGCCGAACCTCACCACCGATTGCACCCATGCAGATTGGAAAAGTCTCGGAACTGCCACGCCAGAAAAACTCAGACAATGCTGATGTTTCTCAAGACAGAGCAACCCATCCTATTTGTGATGTTCCCAAGCCTCCGCCAAAGAGAAGTCATAGTGTACAGTACGACGTGTATCGCAGTCCGTCATTTACGGAAAGGTGGAATCGTAAGTAAGAATTGATACTGCGCAAGCGACCTAAACAATTGAGCGGTAGTTAAAGTGCTTAAGTAGGGAATAGTCCTTGGATGGGTTATGATTAACTCGTATAATGAAGTTCTTACAAAAGCAACAACCACGTGAACCTCGACATGCCCTTCAAGGGAGAAGACAAACTGAACGTGCGCAAGGCTTTCACTGGGGGC